TCTTTTCTTCTTTAACAACCTTGTATAATTACTTGGAATAATACTTTTTAAAAGAAAATTTAATTTTTTATTATAATAGATACGCATGAATATAATATCACGTTTCTATTCATAATTTATCAAAAATTTGAATGGACCAATATAAATTATATAATAAGATATATATTATACTATTAATGAAAATTAAATATGATATCAATGTGTACCTAAATAATTATACAAGATTATTTCTCTATGTAATATTTTTAATAGTGCGTTTTTGTTTCAACTTTAATTTTTATGATACGCTTAGTCTTGCATTTAATTACTAGTATTTTCGTAATAAAATAAGATATTTTATTTATATATAATTTTATTTATTTAAAAAATACAAGAATTAGATATTTATATAATAACAAAAAACAAATAAAACAAATTTAAAAAAAAATACTAAAAATGACACTTTAAAATTAAAATAATTTTTTTACTGTAAAATAAATTGTATGATTATGAAAGAAGTAATGCAAATTTAAAAAATGAAAACTACAAGACGTTTTTATGTATGTAACAGCCTCGGAGATTTAAATGAAATGTGTGTATTAAAAATTTCAAATGCGGAAGCGTAATAAAAATTTTGATTAACATCCCTTACACAATAACTAAAACGTACTCAAAATATGAATGAATAAACTAACTAAAAGAGATACTCGAAATAAGAACTATAAATATAACTATGAAGTCTTTAGGCGTCCCCTTCGCCGTCTTTCTGCGGAACGGGCTCGGGAACAACGTCTTCCTGATCTGAAATGGTTAAATAAGGAATGAGCTACCCCAGCGCAGTAAAGACATCACATTATCTCACCGCCACGGAAGTAAAGGTGGGTAGAAAGTAAAAATGACCAATGTAGCATAATTTATAACAAACTCGTTTATCAACATAAAAACCTTTACTGTCCACTTATCTCGGTGAGATCCATGAAAACGACATATGAAAGCAATAATATTATCATCATCATGAAATCATATGAACTGTATAACATAACACTTACCACGCCTTTGCATTTCAATCATTAAATAACATATTTTCCTCTTTTACCAATCTACTAGTATCCATGGGAATCCATAGGGGGTCACCGCTGCCCGTGAACCATTAACATTACAAGCTGATTCCAGGGCCGTCCCCATATCCTGTCTGGTATGGGCGCCAAAACCATGAACCTCAATACCCCATCCGATACGAAGGTGAAACGGGCCGTCCCCATACCCCGTCCGATATGGGTGCCAAAACACACAAGGTCTCCATACCCCGTCCGGTATGAGAGACCACGTTCCCGGTAGGGTTCCCTACGGACCCGGTCCGTCCACCATCTCCTAGGATATCTAGTCAGGCTGTCCACATTTTTCACTTATCAATTCACATAACCTTTCTGCCTTTTTCCTTAATCTCAATCATCTAATCATACACAACATGTAAACCAGTAATTGATACCAAACAAGACAACACAGTATCGTGTTAATCATAATATTAACAATAATAAAAGAAACCATGATTCATGCATACGAGACCATAAAATAAATACATCAGACATCATGCTGCATTTAATACTGAAAATAGATCAAACAATAACAGACCAACACTGTGTTAGACTCAGGCTCAATTGGCAACCTTAATCAATTATACATCTATAAAGTCACAAAGTACAGTTTAATTATTTATTTAGCTTTAATACCGTGATAGGAAATAGGGTGAGGGGTCCTTACTTGTTTCGGGGTCTGAATTCGACTTTACAGTGCGCCTACAGGCTGTCCCTAATTTTTCTGAATTTTTCTTGAAAAACTGAAACACACTACCAGTACCTGCACGTGTCCCAAAAAATCTCAAATCAGACCTAGGGCCCCTTTCGGCCAATATCGGAATTCCGGCACGGCAGCTCCGCTGTGCTCCGGCGACGGCGCCGCCACTTGCAGCAGTAATCCACCTCGGGTTGGCCGTTTTCGGCCGAATTCGGCCACACTTGCATCGGTCCCTGTGATAAAACAACCCTAGGGCTCTCGAGGGGCCAAAAAATCACGAAAAATTGAGACTTATCGGCGGTGGTGCTCTCGGGTGCGGCGGCTCTTCCGGCGTGAGTCGCATTTTGATGTTTGGCTCCGATTAACCTATAGAGAAAAGAACGGTGATCACAGTAGTATAAAATTTGCATCGAACGGAGGCCAGGAAGGGCCTCATCAGAGGCAAAAACAGAGGGGGGTCGCGGCAGCACCGTTGGACTTCGGCTGGGTTTTTCGGCCGTTTGGCCGGTGGTTTGGCCATAGGCAGACTCAGCATCGAAAAACGAGCCAGGAGGAGAAAATTTACCTCGATCGGCGGTCGGAAACTTCTCCGATGCGACGGCGGGTGGCGGCGGCTGGCTCCTCCAGCGTCTGGTTCTTCTTCTCCGGCGAGGCACTGGCGGCTAGGGTTTTGTGGTCAGGTGTGGGTGCGGTTATTTATACCCTTTGCCTTTTAATCTCAACCGTCCATCAAGATTAAATCTGGACCGTCCGATCGCGATTTAATTGGGATTAAATCTGGACCGTCCATCGCGATGCAATTTGGGTCGTCCGTGCCTAATTGAATCTGAGCTGTCCGTACGCGTGAATCTGGGCCGTCCGTGCGCACGTTCGATTTGGGCCGTCCGTGCGTGCGAGAACGGATCTGGGCCGTCCGATCGTGCACACGCGGATCGCCCACGTGGTCCGTCCCGTGTCAGTGTTTTCTTGCCACGCGGCGTGTCCTGGTTGGCCGGGGCTGCTGACCGGGCTGCTGACGTGGCTGCTGACGTGGCACAACTTTTTTAAATTGTGTTTTGACCCCCAGTTTCTAATTTTCTTTTCAAAAACACCCCCAGAATCCAAATTTTCACCCCTTTTTCCCAAAATCAATTTCAATTAAATCCAAATAATATTTTTACCCAATTTTATCATTATCATTATTTTTATTTTCATTAAATTAAATTAAATTAAATAAAAATCTAAAAAATTCAAATAAGATAAAATAAGAAAAAAAAAACACTTGGGTGTTACAATGTATCAAACAGAGTTTCAAAGTTCAAGAGTAGACAATTTACAACACATTCATGTTAACTTTGAAATAATTATTTGAATTGTTATTCTAAAAGTTTAAGTTAATAAAAAGAGCTCAATAAATTATTTCAACTACAATATATTCATTAAAGGAAAATATAATAAATAAATAGGAGTTACTACAAAAATACATATTTTTTAGATCATTTTCCTTTTAATTAATTCTCTAATATTATAATCTTTTATATTATTGCTTTAAGTTATACATAACGTATGTATATATTATTTTCCTCAAGTATATTTTCTATACATCTCATTTAAATAACTTAAAA